TGTTTTGGTTGACAACATGATATGTCAGTCTACAACGGGAAAACAATCAAGTCTAAAATTTACGCAATACTAAGTACTCTGACGCGTGATGACAAATAAAGTAACAACAATTTTTTAAAGAACTATATTCGTTGGTATTGGACTGGTTGCTGTAACTGGGATCCTTTTAAATTAATGTTACATTACTTATTGAACTACTGTCAGGACAAAAAACAACAGAAAAAAGTAGTTATAATTAATGATGTTCGAATTGCAATTGTGTTTCAAAACTAGAAACCCCCAAGATTGACTGGGGAATGGAAATATGGTCTCTATTGGTCTTCCTCCGACCGGCAATAAATCCTTCGCCAAACTTTCCCGTGTAGGGGAACTCTGAACACCTCTCCACCATTTGAATAAATTTAACTACATGCATCACTTGTTGTAAAAAAAAATGCCATGCTTTTAACCAGAATGCTTCTTGATGCTAAGATTAATTCTCAAAGTAAGACCAACTGAGTGGACGCCTTTCTGGTGATAAACACGTTTATGAAGAAATCCAATGATGTTGCATATATTACCTAATGCATGAAACATTATTTATGTATCTAATAAACCTTCGATTTTCGCCGTCGATTTGGAACAAGAAAAAAGAAATTGCTCTCGCAGTGAAAATCATGGCTATGCTTTAAAAAGGGAAAATATGCATCATCATTCTGGACGAAAGTGAAGGATTATTGACATTATTTATTCAATTCTACAGAGGAGTATAGGCCACACTACACGGTATCAAAATAAATTGAATATAATTATATGTAATGTCCCTAATTGAGAAGAATAAAGAAGATACTGAATTTCAAATAGATAGTGACACAGTGTTCTCCCCAAATATGTTTAGCACCAGGGTCTCTTGTTTTGTTTACTACAATGGTGTTATCTTAATAGATTCTATAACGGAATATGGTGTTTAATCATGATATTCTGTATGACACAGTGTTATTTCAAATACCATTCTGTTGCAATAAAATGAATTCAAAATAAATACCAGGATTAAAAATTGTGTACGCCAGACGCGCGTTTCGTCTACAAAAGACTCATAATTGACGCTCGAATCACAAAATTTAAAAAGACCAAATGAAATACGATGGTGAAGACCACTGAAGACCCCAAATTCCTAAATGTTTTTTTTCCAAATACAGCTTAGTTTAGCTATTCCTGAAATAGATGTTGTTACTGAATTAACATTTCAGTTTTCTTTGATTAGAGACTTAAAATTTATTTTATAGCATTATATATAATTATTCAGGTAACGCTTTTGCAATGAATATGAGGTATAGATAATTTTGCTTGTCCATCGGTCTGTTGCTCAGTCTTGTGAATCTTACACCATTGATGTACTTATATAAAGTTTTATCTTATTTTACAAGTGCACATGTCCTCAAATGGACAACTACACCAAAAAAGGGAAGTGAACACATATGCTCCGTAAGATGTAATCGTAGATTTGTGCCTTAAAAGTGAAATTCGAAGATGAGTTGCTCTTGCTGCAAATAGATAAGTGAATTAAGTACAATCATTTCATTGGATTATTCCTAATACTATACATGATTACTACTGCAAATAATTTTCTAGTGGCAATCAAATTTGTTCATTCATACTCATTGTGCATCTTTTTTGTTATCTAATCGTAGTTGCCTTAGTCATGTCTAGACATGTAACATTATCTACTGGACTTCAGCATTGGTATGAATATATTTATTTGATTTACACAGAGAGCAAACATATTTGCGATTGACTAGGCTATTAAAGATGTTAAAGAATGAGTAACTGTGGAATCACAAAACATTTTGAAATCCAAACTTGTATCAATTTAAAATTAACAAGCCAATACTTAAAATAATCGATCAAGTTACTATCAAGGATATCAGTCTTTTTTGAAACAAATATTTCTATTTTTTCTTGCTTTAAAATTCTATATTCTGTCGACAACTTTTGTATGAGGAAACAACAGAAAAATTGAACAATAAAATATTTTGTTATTTAGTGATAAAATTGAGAATGGAAATGGGAAATGTGTCAAAGAGACTACAACCCGACCAAATGCGGCGAGGTTAAATATGTTTTGTGAGATCTCAACCCTCCCCCTATACATCGTACTAATGTAGAAAAAACAAACACACATCAATACGCACAGTAAAACTAAGTTTAAAAGAAGTCTGAGTCCTATGCCAGAATAGGTAACAAAAGAAACTAAGCAAAATGACAATGGTACATAAATTAACAAAGCAATACTAGAAGTTACAGGCATACCAGCTGCAGACCTCAATTAAACTGATTGAAAGATTATGTATTCATCATAAGAATATTGGAATAAGACAAAACATATTTTGAGCACGCATAGAAAGCGACAAGAAGTGTTTATACGCAGAAAAAATGAAATCTTCACACAGAAGGTTTGGAAATCTTTAAGGTTACTTTAAGGGATGATTGTAACATATCATAAACTGTAATGTTTAACCATGATTAGGGAATTGATTTGATACTTTGTGTGATAAAATTAAAATTAACAATAAACAAAACTCCAACGAAAATAAAAAGGAAATTCCCTTATCAAACAGAGTTATGAAGAAGAACGATTGATATTTACACTTCAGTCGCTTTTTGTCAGTTATGACAGTTGTTATCCATTCGTTTGATGTGTTTGAGGTTTTGATTTTGCCATTTGATAAGGGACTTTCCATTTTAAAACTTCCTCAGAGTTCGGTATTTTTGTGATTTTACTTTTTGTCCAAAACGATGTAACTGTTTCTCAATTTACTTACGAAAGGTTTTCGCAGTTCTTCAGTTCCAGTATAGTCGACTGATTTAAAATTTGACAGATTGTGTCTTTCTGCCGCTTATGACATTTTGATCTAGTGTGGATGGATTTGCATGTCTGTTGATGCAAGCAGAAGTGAGATACTTGTCCTGTCGATGCATTCGGTCTAACTCTTCTCTGGCTGAAATTCATGCGATTCTCTGAGTTTTTGGTTGTTGCCTTGATTTGTATCTTTGTTATCTATTTATAAGATTGGAACATACTGTTGCCTTAGTTTACATTTTCCAATTTCGTTAACAACCCGTTTATTACTATCTCCATTAGGACAATAAATAATTGGCCGTCATGGCTCCGAATTCCCTGTGATTTAGACGGATGAGTTTGAAATTGTTAATGTTGAGTGGCTTTAAAATTAAGGAATTTGGAGAATTCATCATTTCCATAAAATTGGTTGAAAACACTCAATACGTTTAATCAATTAGAACATTTTAAGACATCTTATTAATCAAGTCAGGGTGATAAGAATATCGGAAATAAATTGCCAAACTTAATTAAGTTTGTCTGTCATCTTAATTTCAATATAGAATACGAAGATGTGGGATGACTTCCAATTAGACAACTCGCCATCAGAGACCAACTCAAATAGAATTTAACAACTAAAACTCCCCGTGCGGCCTGCAGAAAAATCCATACCGCATAGTCAGCTATAAAAGGCCCGGAATGACAAATGTAAAACAATTCAAACGAGATAACTAATGGCCTGATTAATGTACAAAAAAAACCCGAAAAACTAAAATGATATACCGCAACCAACGACAATCACAGAAATAAAGGCGTTTGCCTTTGGACAGTCACATACAGTTGTGTGGGTTAAACTAGTTTCTTTGCGCCAAACCCTGACTCTAACCTGGGATAGTGGTGAATAAATTATAAAAATCACTTGTACGGGTCTTAATTCAAAAGATCGATGCAAAACAGAAAGAAAAAACACAGACCTAACGTGGCAGGATATGTATACATCCCAACAACAAAATAGTACATATCTGAGAGTATTCGAAGTTACTGACAGCTAATTCAAGTCGACTTAATTCCCAAGCTATTTATTTTTTTTCAAGGACAAGACAGATTAGCTTTGAATCAATTCTGTAATGACCCTGGCAGCTCATCAACGACACAAGGTACCTTCTTCTTTACATGTATCACTTCACTGTTTTAGCAAAAGCATTAAAAAAGCTTACGTAATTCATAAGAATGTATCTGACAAAATACCCCTGCCATAGAATTGAGGCAGACATCATTTCCTTACTAAATTTAGTTGCGCCGCCATACAATTAAGGCAGATATCAAATCCTTGCTTAATTTAGATGCTTAGATATACGTCATTTAGTATATGTTATCATTTACATGTGATCGTATTGATAGTGAACTCATTGGCAATCATAGCACATCTTCTTTTTTATCTGGATTTAGATATATTGAGTAAGTAAAAGTAAAATAACAAAAATATCGAACTCCAAGGAAAATTCAAAACGGAAAAGTCCTTCATCAAATGGCAAAATCAAAAGCTCAAACACATCAAAAGAATGGATAACAACTGTCATATTCCTGACTTGGTACAGGCATTTTCTAATGTAGAAAATGGTGGATTAAACTTGGTTTAACTATTCCTTACAGAAGATATCTAGAGAATAAATATGATTTTAATTAAAGCTTAGTTGTGAAATAAAACAAATATAAGAAAAGATTTGTGGGACGAAAGGCAAAATAAATACTAAAACACATGTGAAAACAAATTTTCAGAAATAAAAATATCTCTAGTTCAGAAAAACCGGACTTAATTTATGAATGGAAAAGAGAGAATTTAATACAAAATACCAAGAGACGATGAATTCATTGTGTTCTCATCACGAAGATTATACTATAATTGAAAAAGTTTCTTTTGATGCAGGAAAATATATTGATTTTATCACGGGTTGGCCCTTTATGCTTAATATTTTACCAAGACCAATAAAAAGGAGTTAAGTATCGGTAAAAGTGCCAAACCCGTGGTAAAATCAATATAAATTCAAGCACCCATGAATTATTACTATTCTAATAGGGCAAAGCGTTTTAGTTGTAGGCAAACATTTGCTGTTCACGTTATTGATCACAATTTTAAAATAGACGTAAAAGACGAAGAAAACTGAATTAGTGACATACTTACCGATTTACAACAATATACTAAGAAACGTGAGGAAAAGTAAATTAATAATGAAAATGGAACCATTGTGTGTGTTTCTACTTGAAATCATCCCTTCGTAGATTTTTACGGACGCCATTACGAGTTGGGTGATCGTTATGGAATAACCATTTCATAGATGATATCGGATATGTTCCTTATGTCATAACTACAATCCTCTTCCCTTTTTCACGAATATGACCTACCAAGTTAGACTATTTACCTAGTTTGTAATACATTTGTAACATGAGCAACACGACGGGTGCCACATGTTGAGCAGGATCTGCTTACCCTTCCGAATCACCTGGGATCACCCCTAGTTTTTGGTGGGGTTTGTGATGCTTAGTCTTCAGTTTTCTATGTTGTGTTTTGTGTACTATTATGTGTCTGTTTGTCTTTTGGACCATGAAGAATTTGCAACCACTGGTAGATGTGGTGTAGCTGTATCGAATATTATAAATTTCAAATGGCATAAAAACATGCTATAAGATCAGTTAAAAAAAGCAAAATGATGAAAACTCGAATCGAATATTTTGCCATGATTGGCGATATCTTGAGTATCAATATCATGTGTATATTTCCAATTGTTCCTATGATACACAAGAAACTAAGGCATACTGTAGCTGGAATCCCTTGGTCCAGAAATCTTTTGTGTTCTATTTCACTCAAACTGGTATAAGTTCCGTTTGTTAAATCAAACGCCATCCTGAAAATTGTAAATAAAACCTTGATTTTAATAACACAACACATTAATGAATGAAAGCTACTTGTACAATTTTTGATTTTTCGAGTAGAACTCAAAAGTAATTTGTCTTGTGTACTACTGAATGATAAATTTAATTTTTAAATCAGCGGCCTTTTAAATTTTACTTCCTTCTTAACGATCAAGTGAGTTTATTGTGTTTGTAATTGATTCAGATATGTTCGTATAGCCTAATTCACATATGAACACAAAGAGACACTTTTGACGCCTTCTAGAGTTAGTTAACCTTAATAGATAGGCCGCTTTACACAAAACGGACGGATATGTTCTAATTGTTGCAACTACAATCATGTCCCCTTTTCACCGAAAGTGAAGTTCTAAATTACACTTATCAATGACATGAGTGACATGACGGGTGTCACATGTGGAACAGGATCTGCTTACCATTCCGGAGCACATGAGATCAACACCATTTTTGGTGGGTTCGTTTCGCTTAGTCTTTGATTTTCTATGTTGTTTTATGGGACTGGTGGTTGTCTGTTTGTCGTTTTTGTTTTAGCCATGGCGTTATCAGTTTATTTTATACTTATGAGTTTTAATGTCTCTTTGGTATCCAACGCCTCTCTTTTAAAAACAACCTAAGTTACCACAAATTTGTTAGCGTTAAAATGATTTCCTTGTTCCTGTACTTCGTTAAAAAACTTATTTGACCAACAAATGTATGTCAAGTGTCAAGTGCTAGACAATCAAATCGAAATAGATCAGTTCCAAATCAGCATTTAATGCAGGAAAACGTGAATCACAGATTTGTAAAAAAAGTACAATAACTTCCTTGTTGAATTTTTTTTTTTTTACCAAATTTTATCGGACAGAATTTTACTTTATGATTTTAATCAATGTAATGATACCTCAACTTAAAATGGTAAAAACCTAAATACGTACAAAATATCCATCAGAAGCCCAATATATGTTGCCTCCATTCGGGTTCAGTTTTGGCCAATTAAAAAGTGGAGTTATAGTAATTTGTCATGTCGATGTATGAGTTTGAATGTCCCTCTGGTATCTTTCGCCCCTCTTTCATGATTTATATCTGATAATTGAAATTAGATTATCTAATAAAATGTAATTAGTTAATTGGTTAACGGTCTTGTACGTCCTAAACAACAACTGTCTTGCTCAACATCAGACGGTGTAGTGTAATTTTCTTTGAAGAAAAATGTGTCTTATTATATCAAAGCTTTCCCAAAGTTTAAATTTTTAGGTATTATTCAATGGTTAAAAAGTTTAATGAATATATAAAAAAGAAGATGTGGTGTGATTGCCAATGAGACAACTCTCCACAAGAGACCAAAATGGCACAGAAATTAACGACTAGAGGTCACCGTACGGCCTTCAACAATCAGCAAAGCTTATACCGCATAGTCAGCTATAAAAGGCCCCGAAATTACAAATGTAAAACAATTCAAACGAGAAAACTAACGGCCTAATTTATGTACAAAAAATGAACGAAAAACAAATATGTAACACATCAACAAACAACAACCACTGAATTACAGGCTCCTGACTTGGGACAGGCACATACATACAGAATGTGGCGGGGTTAAACATGTTAGCGGGATATCAACCCTTCCCTTAACCTGAGACAGTGGTGTAACAGTTCAACATAAGAACGAACTATAAAAATCAGTTAAAAAAGTCTTAAATCATCAGGTGGATACAAATAGAAATACACCTAGCAAAAAAACATAGTGGACGTGGCCGGGTATTTGTATATCCCAACAACAAAAATACAATAAGTACTGATCTGAGAATACTCGCAGTTACTGGCAGCCAGCTAGTTCAAAGCCACTAACAACTAATAAAAGAAAATCATGCATCTCAGACTAAATTATCAATGTATGCATGTCTGGATGTTTCTGGTGTACCGAGTAATTTTCAACCATTGTCATAATACGTTGTAATCATATATGATATAACAGTTCAAAATCGTATTTGACATTTAGCACATACCTCAATGATCTTTATTGTCTTTGTGCATATAGTTGTATGTACATTTACAGATGATAGATAATTTATCCTTAAGTGGTCTAATGTTCAAGTATAAAGTTCTTATATACAAAAACATGATTTTTCATATTACTACACGCCCTTCCGATGATGCATCCAATGAAAATTTATTGTTATCACAAAACTGAAGTCAATATGGGAAAGCCTAATGTGGTTAACATGTTTAGTCGATCAAACAATCATATGGTTGTCGTTTCTTTAGTCTATACAATCATATATGGCTGTATACTGTTTTAAACGCAATGGCGTAAGTGAAAAACCCATGGACAATCTAAAACGAGTTTCAAACTGATTCCAAACTGACGACATTTGGATAACACGAAACAATGAGGGACAATACCGTACATTTAATGAAGAAAAACTACTTGCCCTTACTGATTCGCTGTTGGCAAACAATTTTGTTCATCCATATTCCTTGCTCATCCTCTGTTGTCAATGTTAACAATCAATAGTTCTTTCTTTAGTCCTATATTTACATGTCATACTAGACTTCGGTTTTCGTACTGAATATAATTGTAAGCTTGATTACACCGAGAGCAAAAATGTTCGCGATAACTTTGATTGACAGTATTTATACCTAGTATATGTGTTATTGATACTTCAAACTCAATTTTCCATATATTTTATCAAGCTGTTTGGTGATTAGGACTGAACGCTTGTGTATTTTAAAGTATGTCATCTTAAAATGATTGTCCCTACTTTGTACTACACCGACAAGCCGAGTCGGATTCTTTTTTTCTTCAAAATGCTCGTTAATATGGTTAATATCTGCATAGAGACATATCGCCAAATAAATATGTTTTGTTTTAACATAAAGCTATGAGCAATCTTATTGCTACATACTTCGTGAGTGAAGCAAATTAAACCAGTTACAAGTGACTGTTTGTTTTCAGGTATTTGTTTTAGCATACCTTTAGGGGTGAGCATGTTATCTATATACCACCAAGGCGATTTTGGATGTCGAAGGGTGATAATGTCTAAGCACAAAACATTTCAAAATCGAGACATTATACAAAAAACTTAAATATATTTGAAATTAACCAGCCACTACTTAAATATGGAAATAATCGATACAATAACTATACAAGGTATTAGGTTTATCATTGAATACGTCAGATATGCGTTTCGTCTACATACAATTTATTATTACAGCTTTAAGCAAACCAGCTGTATCAAATCAAAAATCAATGAACATTTAAAATCAGAACGTTGTTTCAAATTTGAATACGGCCATTTGTTTCTTACGTGAAAAAAAACTCATCGACTTAAACCTATTTCTTAAATTCTATAAAGATATATTTTTTTTTCCATTAAAATTTTTGCCGTTTTTCTGTTCTTCGTTAAAACAATGCTTTCAAGTATTTTTAACTGATGATTGATAGGTAAAATTATTGTATTTCCTTTTCTGAATGTTTTGGAAGTGCAATGCATTATAACCATTCCTAAATTTGTTTTTATTACAAGTTATTTTTTTAGCAAATGCTCAATTTCGCCCTTAGGTTCTGTAGAATGTAATATATATATTGTTGTTAATTTTATTTGTTAGAATGGATTTTTTTTTTTAATTTTAATTTTCAATCTTAATTTTTAAACTGTTATGATAACAATAGAAAGAAGGGCAAATTTGTATTATGCATTCTCATTACAAATGTTTCTATTCTTTTCCTTTTGCAAAATAACAAATTGTTTGGGCACAATCATTATATTTTTTGTTAAAACACCAGAAAATTGAACAATATTAAATTATCTTATAAAGTTAAATTTGAATGATTAAGGTATTCGTTGTTATTCTGTGGTTAACATGTCGAAATGTACTATTATAATATTTATTTATGTATTTCTCTGTCTTGGGTGTTCTTGCATTTATTTGTGCTGTGTTCCCGACATGCAATGTTGTCATTTTAACGGTATATTTAACATTGCCATAAAGCGCGGAGATTTGGCTAGCCACAAAACAGGTTCAACCCACCATTTCTTTCTTAAAATGTCCTGTACCAAGTCAGGAATATGGCAGTTAGTTGTTATCTAATAGTTCGTTCCTATGTATGTTGCATTGTCGTTTGTTTTTGTTGGACTTCAGTGTTATGTTTTTTCGTTGTTTTCCTCTTATAGTTGATACGTTTCCATCGGTTATAGTTTCTAATCCGGATTTGTTTTTCAATCGATTTAAGGCTCTTGAAGAGCGGTATACTACTGTTGCCTTCATTCTACACGTGGAAAATGAAATATCCATATTTAAATTTTAAAAGTTAAATATAAGAATGTGTTTCGAAATGACACTGTACCCCAATTGCACTATATTAATTTGATCAGTGTTATTGATGTTAATCCCATAATTTCGCATTGATAAAGCACAAAAGACAACAACACGTTATATTAATTCATACGTCCGATGCGCTTTTCTGGATTTGCCTTCATCAGGAACGCTCAAAGCCAAATATTTCAAAGCCAAGGAGTTATAAGAACTGAAACAATTGATGAACTATATGACAAAAATTAATCTAATACAATAGCCAAATCCATCAAAGGCCAACTTTGACTGAGGGAGTTGAAAACATAGTTTTTTTATTATTTCATAATTTATAAAGACAATTTCAGAAAGGGTTGTCATATAAGTACCAAAGTACTGACTACTGAGCTGATGATACCCTCGGGGAATGATAGTCCACCAGCAGAGGTATCGACCCAGTGATGTTAAAAATGAAAACAACACGTTATATATATGGTAGGCAAAATAATAATGAGCATTTGTATAAAGTTTCAAAATGATGTCACAACAACGTAATTGAGAATTCCCTTTGCGAATAAATTGAACATGATAATGTACCTATTTCATATGTTCAGAGAACTTTAAAAAAAAAAAGGATGACATTGTGTTTTGGTATCAATTATAAAAGTTCATATCATAATGAAAATGTGTTCAGGTTTCTGGCTTTAACAAATCAAAAATTCAAACAGATATTGAACGGACCGACGAACGATATAACAGACGTAGAGATGAACTGACGAACCAACTAACCTGGAAACATAATTCCATTCCACTGTCAGAAATTGGCAGAGCCACTAGACATGCCTTCAAATTTGATTCTTATATGTACCAACCGATTTCATGAACAATCTGTTGAAGAAGATTTCCATTTGAACTTCCAAAGAATTACTGCAGGTACCTCACTAAGTCTTTATATTTTACAATAACATTTTGCAAATTACAACTGCTAAACTTCTTTTAATTATTTCTATTGAATGATTTTATTTCCTGTGTCGATATGCCTTGCATTTTTAATCTAGCAAAAAATCAATCAAAGTTTAATTGTGAACTGTTTGAGTCGATAGACACCAAAGGAAATTTCGCGGGAATATTTCGTAAAAGGGGAACGAAAGATACCAGAGGGACATTCAAACTCATACATCGAAAATAAACTGACTAAAAAAGAAAAAGACAAACAGACAAATAATAGAGAACTAACGACTAAGCAACAAGAACCCCAACAAAAACTGGGGTTGATCTCAGGTGTAATCATTGTCAATTAAGAATGAAATCTTGAACTTATTTTTGATATCAAAGCGTTGCAGGTTGTCATAACTAGTTTCTTACTAAGATATCTGCATGTGCTGATGCAGTCTTTTGATTTTTAAATTTCGGTTCTATCAAGGATTGTTTGACATCACTCTGGAATTTTTATTTGTTTTTACCACAGATAATTGACAGTATACGGAGCAGTGATGTAAGCAAATGCGGCATAAAACAATTGGGAAAAAGTTTTGAAACACGAAACGATGACTACCTTTACTCAATATTGACCTTCCCATACACAAATAGTATCTTTGCAAGGTTTGTATAGATACCATTTATGTCACGAGCCAAAAAACGCGTAAGTTATTGATGGGTGACTGTTTTACGTAGAGTGACAAAAATTGTGATACGATTATTAACGGAGTTTGGTACTAGACTGATTTAATCATGCTTGTTGAAAAGATAACAGTTCAAATACCCATTGATCTATGCTGGTTTTTTTTAATTGGTTAGGTTGAGTGTACATGATACATTGAATTGTGACTAGCATCATTTCCATACATTTGTTGGAAAACATTAAAGATACCAATCAATCCATGCATTTAAATATTTTTTAATCAAAACACGTTGATAACGAATAAAGCTGACAATATGGTATGACACCACTAACTCAATTCTGGTAATAAAGAACATACAAGAAAGTAGTCCATATATCAAACAAATTAGTTCTTACGCTTAGCTGTCATTTCTAATATATATAAACCATGTGGGTGATTTTAGTATCAAATAGAAGTTGAAGGACTGGGGATCGTTGTTAAACCCTTGTTGAATGATAGTATCAATAATAAAAATATCGTACGAAGTTGAACCAGAAAAACATATAACTGTAGCAAGGTCCGAAATACTTGTTATTGTACTTCCAAACTTGTCCCTGTGCTCTTGTACTTAATTAGTGAAGTGTTTTTTCCAGCAAAAGTAACAAGAATGTATTGCGTTGACATGGAATGACTGTCAATTGAACTTCAGTCTCACGAATGATTGACATTGGATAATTTAACATAAAAAGCAATGGGTATTTTATAATTGGTTATCTAATATAGATTAACCTAGTTTGTCTTTTATTAATTTTCCTAATGAAATTATTTGTTTATATGTTTTGTAAACTCCTGACCGATGCAGGATTAAAAAAACCTTAGTCAATCATCTTCTGCAGGGCCTTGACTCCTCTCAAAATAAAATTGTCAATTATCTATGGAGGAATCGTCAATGCATAGATACAATTACCATTTAACCAAAGCATACAGTTGCTTTTAGGCATTCTCAGGCATGTATAACAAATATCTGTAGCAATAAAATGTAGACCGATATAATATCCGTGCCTGAAATTTACTGTATGATAAAACAGGAAACAAAAAAAGATCTGACAGACAACCAAAAACAACAAACATTGACATAACGTATAAAACAAACCAGCTTAACCTGTTGGAAAGGGATTTACTATACAGATCGACACGCGTTGCTGAACACAACTTTCAAAAGGAAAGAAGAAACAAAGTACCTATATGTATA